ATATATATATATATATATATATATATATATATATATATATATATATATATAAAGCCAAAAGGAATTACAGCTATGTTTGGGAGCTGCTGCTCCCTAATGTAGCGTTACCAAAGTCTTGACCTACATAATTGTTTATCCTTACATTACGGACAAATACAATTCTTAGGATGTCTACACACACTGCTTTGTTTACAAACACCGGAGGAATTACCAAAAATACTGTCCTATTAAAAGCTTTTTCTCTTCTCCTTCCTTTACGAGGAGGTCCGCCACCTGGTTTTGTTCCCTGTATTCGTGCTCCAGTGCTGGATTCCCCAGCTGCACCATCAAGTACCTGCATTCATGAATGATATAGTTAAAAATCAAATTACCTTCATTAATAAGTTGATAACCTGTGCAGAGTCAGTGGAGATTGTTAACGGCGTTAGCCTGTGCTGGAGTGCTAAAGTTAGCCCCTGGTAAAGTTCCTGGATTTCAGCGTCGAGCGTTGTGGTATGGGGTAGCCCTCTCAAGTAGCCCATAACCCAGTCACCCCTGCTATTCCTATCAACCCCCCCCCCCCCCCCAATTCTCCCTACTCGTGATATTGGGCATGCTGCCCCATCAATGTTAAGTTGATATGTGCCATTAGGTGGTGGCTTCCATTTAATATGGATCCTCTGCATATCGGTCTTAACCTTAAGTTTCACCCCAACATGAAAGTATTCTGTGGCCCTAGCAATGGTCTGTTTAACAGGGACATTGTTCTTTTTATTTTCGAAAAGGTTGTTATTCCTAGTTATCCATATTCCCTAGAAGTAGAATAGTAGCAGTGATTTCCAAGTGATAGCACTGTTAAATTGCATGTTCATGATTCTGTGCCAAGTGTCCTTCCATTGAGACATCGAGAAATTAAGGTTAGTGTGGGAGGACACATTGGTACATTCTAGTTAGGGAGTTCCAGAATGTCTTAGCATTTTTGCATTCGAAGAAGATGTAGTTGATATCTTCCACTGCAGAGGCACATAGGTGGCACTGAGGGTTGACATTTAATCCTTTGTTATTCAGTTGCAATGCAGTGGGGAGTCTATTATGCTGCATCAACCAGGTGAAGAATTTTATCTTGTTAGGGACTCCTAGTTTCCAGATCTAGCCAAAGGTATCTTCTTGGTTTGAATTGGGGTGATTTCTGAACAGATCATATTGTAAGCATATTTAGAGCTGAAAAGACCATTACTGGTGAGGTTCCAGATGAGCTAGTACTCAATGTTGGAGGATGTGGAAATGAGATGGATTGAAACACCTGCTTGATGTCCATGGGAATGGGGTATTGGATGAAATCAAAATTCCATTCCGCATTGCTGAAGATAGAATTTATTTTGATGGTAAGGTCTGTCGCGCCCCCTTTTTCCTCGCGGAGTCCGGGCTTTGACATTTGGGACAACTCCTTTCCTTTTGGGATTGGGTAATGAATTTGAAGAGTCGCCACCTAACGGATTAAGGTGCGTTAGGGCACGTAGAACAATTAACTCATGAAACCAGTTTACGTCACCAGAGATTGGGTAAGGGCTCGAAATTACCTCCAGGGGAAGGTGTTAGGCACCCCTCGAGGTCCACAACGGTGGGTCCCGGCCAAACTCAATTAAGAGAATTAGTCTTAAAGCGGTATAAAACAGTTTAGAAAGACATCATTTCAAAACAGGAATAAAAAAGGGTCCTAGGTTTTTTAGCCTATAGGATCATTTTCATGCAATACTTGGTACCTCTCCCCAAATTGGGGTGTTACGCATAGCATTAGCGCACATGTCATCATCTCATTTACTACCCCATTACTATCTTTCAGTTGTTACCAAAGCGTTCTAGTAGCTTCTAATGCGTACCTTATGCGTGCACTACCCGTCCCTTACCTATAGTCCTGGAGGTGTTTAGGACTTCTATTTAGGATGGATCTGGACTCACCTACATAGCTTAAAATGAGAAAAAAGCGACAAACTAAATTCATATAGGATTGTCACATAAGAAGCAAATAAAGGCTCACGTTGACCTCCACAAGTAGCCAACCAATGCACGCCATTAACACAAACAAAGTTTTTATAGCTTAGGATCCTATAGAAAGGATATCTAGATGAGCATCAACAGCTTTACTAAAGCGAGCAGCAGTACCTATCAGTTATCCTACTGATTTTGTTAATATTCTAAATCTGGGCATGTTTCAAGCAGCAAAATCACAGTTTTAGACCCAGAATTCCTAATTACCCTACAAGCTTGCCTAAGTGAGGACCAGAGCAGAATCCTATAGGCATGGTATCTAAACCAGTTACTGAATTCAACAAACAGGTTTTTATCTCTTTAGATCCTATAGACATGCTTTCTAATTTACAAAATCAGTTAGCTCCTATAAATATGATTTCTAGGTGTGGGACTGATTTATTTATTTCCTATAGACACGATATCTAAATTGCATAAATTGACTTTAAATTCCCTATAGGCATGATATCTAAATCGCA